GGAGGGACAAAAGACCTCGCACAGAGGCAGACTCTTACGCTCGTTCTTTATTTCGACGTGGATAGAGCGAGAGGAGAGAACGAGGAGGCTGGGAGGCAAAAGAGGAGGGGCAATTTATTTGCGGACCCTTGCAGCACTGTGTCAGTATGCGACGGCCAGAAGAACTACTTTTCTTCTGTCTCCATCGCTGACCCCTTCCCTCTGGCTCTGACAATGCAATGGGCACTGTCATTGCCATTGCACCGTAGATTGGATTGGATCGCGTAAGAAAACGACCGCCGGAGATTTCATTTTCCTCCGGCGTGAACACGCTTTTTCCCCCTAGCTCTTTCGCTTTCGGAATGGTCATGGTCACGAGCGCTCGATCCTTGACGCGTCGTGCATGGCCGTTTTCGCGACACGTTCCCGTACGTTTGATCAGCATCCAGTCGATCGGATCGGGCTTAGAAATTCATGCGAGTTCTACGGAAGTTTTGATTGCTATCGTAAACGAAATTTAGTCCCAAAGTTAAATTATACATACAATCGATAAGCTGAAACGATGGGAGTAACAGCACCTGCGTGACGTGAGCCGCGATACAGCGTTAATACGTCAATGTCCTGTTATGCGATTAGATTACTTAATATACTTGGGAAATTCGTTGTCTGAAAATTTCTCAAACATGTTTTAGTATTTTTCGTTATATTTTGTATTATTATTTGGTCGTTAACGAATACTCGAACTACCAAACCTGTCAAAATTACGGGTAGCAGATTTCTTATTGTAAGAGTTCTGAAATAATAATTGTGCATTTGACGAAATTGAGAGTAGCTTTTAACTTATACATTTCATGATATACTATATTAAGCTAGATTGAACTAGATATTGTGTATATTACTAGTTTTGGACCGCTCGTAGTGGTGCCAGGGAGTATACTAAGTTTATATTTCACGCCGATTTTCTTTTGTTTCTCAACAAAATACATCGAAAAATTGAATCCTGTAGTCAAAAGCATTTCTTTATTTTAATTTAAAATGACACCTGGCAAAGAGCATATCCGTCATTATATTTCTCTGCTCCTTAATTTGAAGAAAATGACAGAAGCAAAACGATTGATCGAAGACGCCTATAGTAGTGGAACTGAACATATACATATACCTGCAGATACATTTGAGAGATGGTTTCAACGATTCAAAAACAGTGATTTCGATTCAAGAAATAAAGAACGCATTAGACGATCAACAGAAATGTAAACTGATGATTTGGAAAAGTGTTGTTGAAAAAAGACCGATCGGAACTTGCAAAACAGCGTTGTAAAATTAAAATGATAAAAATTGTAACAGTACTATATCAATAAGTATCTGAAGGTTAAAAAAATACGCAAAACTTAGTTGACGACCTAATACCAATGTGCGCTACAACGGCCAGATAAAAATGGCTCAGCACTCGTCAGATGAGGATTAAAGATTTAAATATAGGGTCAAGACGCTGACACGGTTAAACGAGCTTGCGTCGTATAAGGTTCTTAAATTCTCTTTAATCCCTACAATAATAAAAGAAATAATTAACACATAAACTCACGGTAGATAAAATTGAATCCATAAAGCATCTCGAATCGATAGAAAACAACGGCACTTCGCTGTTCAAGGATGGTGGTCACAATCTTCCACCGTTCGCACATATGATACTGCTTCTTTATGCTCGTTATGCTACGTTTATTAGCTGCAATGTCTGGCGAATATCTCAGGAGATAACGCGAACCGATAACAACCGATAACGATGAGCAATTCACCGATGTACAGATACAGAATCCACGGAATCACGGATCGCCAGGGAGAAAGAATCAAAGGCGATGGGATCACCATGGATCAGCGGCTAAATTAGGGATCAACCGGTAACACGTGCGACGACCGGTTTTCGCACGTGCACAACCGTGCAGCTAATCCGTGCACGCGCGCGCGCGTACTTGCCCGGCGAAACGTGAAAACAGATGCATATTCATGAATTGTCAGTAAACGCAGGATGCACCCTTGCCACGGGGGCAACGCGCGTGTTCCTGGCAGTGCATCGTTACTTGATGCAGAATGGGCAACATTTGGCCGTGGCTTATGCCATGGATACCGGCTAGGGTCGAGGAACAGGAAAATCTCAGCGAGGATCGTAATTCCTGAACGGAAATTCAGGAACGTAATAAATGTACCAATGGAATGTATTCAGGGGTTAGACCACTTTCATGCGTTCAAAAAATACCATATTCTCGGGAATTTATTTATAAAGAACAAGAACCCTTTTATGGATCAAAACTATGGCGATCGAGAGTATACCATAAAATTTGAACAATGGAATATTCGATAAATCTAGTCTATCGTCCGATGTAGGACTCTTTCGACATTTTAATTTTTACCTGAGTAATAAGGGAACATTTTCTTTAAAAAAATGAACTTTTTTATTCAAAGTGTCGCCATTTTTGTATGTTTCAATCCCACGAAGAAATCGTACGTCAGGTGATATACAACTTAGATTTATTAAATATTTTTTTGTTCAAATTTTTTTTTTAAATCTGTCAGAAATTACGTTCACCGTCTAGCCGTACACTGTGTACGGTATGTACGCAACATGCCATGGTATATTCTCGACGCCACATTTATTTGTATAAAGTATAAAAGAAAATTGAAAAAAATGTATAGGTATATACCTACAATTCTAATTCATACATATCTTTGGTACTTATGGAAAACTTTTGATCGAAAAAAGTGTTTTTTTGTCTAGTAGAATTAGAAATAAATTCCCACAAGTACCTACTTGTGTATGGAGGAGAACGAAGATATGGCTTTTTTTAACGCATCAAGATGGTCTAATCTTTTGAGTAGGGCGAAGCCTGCAATTATGACGTTAATTTCTAGAAAAAAATATAAATCTCACGTGGTGGTAGCAAAATTTTGTTACAAAATTTGTATACAAAATAATTTCGAGGACTCGAAAAATAAAGTAGAACATACAAAACAATTTCACTAAAAATTTCGTGTTAACGGGTCCATTTTTTTCAGAAGCAACCGTTAAGACACGACGAACACCCTACGATTTCAACCGACTACAAATCAACTCGCATTAAACACAATTACGAGCGACAGATGACGTAGGGCACCGAGTTAGTTGGTATATACTCGTTATCCGGCAAATTGATCAAACTGCCTTTACTTAAGTGTATCTGTCCATTAGCACCACTACTAAACCGAACGCATCAGTTCTGATAAGTTGCACCTGTTAATGTATGTACAATAGAAAAATAAACGTATAAAGATTATAAGCAAATTTCCGAATTATTTCTCACTGATCTGCTTCATTGGAAAGTATTTGACATTAAATTCAGCGTAAAATAAACAGCAAATTATTAACGTCATTATTTGTACACAAATTACGATAATTATTCTCAGCAAAATAAAACTTTAGAAAGATAGATTTCGATATACATATTATAGAAACATCTGAAGTGTCAAGATTTATGCAATATTCAAGTATATAATAACAAATTTTGTTCTCGAAAAATTAAAGGTTGAAAATTCATTTAGAATTGACTGGAAAATACAATCATGTGTCCGGCAGTTCATTCAAGAAAGTTAACTGTATCATTTCCCCGTACACTGTTCATCCCCAACCACCACCATCAATACTTTCTACGTTTCATAACAAGTTGCAGCGAACTATTTAAAGGAGAAGAAATTGTTTAGATAATAAGCAGTTCCTAAAACTGTAAACCAACCATCGTATAGCTTCCATCTATCTAATAGTTTGTAAACTCACAAGTTTCGTTATTACTAATTATCTTCGTTCTCCTCCATACACTACATGCAACGTTTAACATCTTTGAAAAAAAAAGTTACAATAACTTCTATAAATCACCATATTGCAATATCCAAAAATGTTAGCAAAGTGTACAAACCACCACCACATCTTTATTATCGTTTTTCGATTTATTTCGAACGAACTTTTCATTTTGCGACAGAAAATCTTAGTCCCGCCATAAATAGGTTAACACGATCGCGGTGGAAATACATACTGTCGCAACGATGGCGGGACAACTCTTTGTTTGGAGGGTGCGAAACGCGGGGCAAGAAAACTCATGACACAGGCAGCTGTTCGAATTACATTGGGCTCGCCCCTGGCGCGTGGACGGTTTATTGACACACACTCCAGGCGACCCGCGTATTATTACCAGTGTCGTGCATTCGCCACGAAATGTACGGTCTGCCGTTTTCGAGAGAACAACCGGCGGAGCATCAGGACGAATCTCGGTTCCATATACGCTAGGAGAGGGAGAAAATCAACAATGCTTCCTCCTTTCGCGGCCTTCTCCCCATTCTTCGCGCGTTCCTCCTATTGGAAGCGAACCTTCACGCGCAGAATTTTCCGAACCGAATGATATTTTTCTATCGGTACCGAACGCATAATGCATCAAACCAAACAAATCCCTTTCTCAGACGGACCCTCTACTCCCCTAAAATAGACCCAATGAATTGAACCGAAAATGAAGTCCTGAGCTTCGATGTACCGAACGGTTAGCGTTCGCGATTGACATACAACAAGCTTGATGTATACATATAGCAAAGTATACTATACACTCGCTAATATAAAGCTAATCGTATGTGTTGCATACTGAATGATAGTATCGATGATGTGACATGCATCGATGAAAGAAAATAGGAAAGGACGAGATAGAGGCATCGTGTTTGCACACTTAGAGTCATTCGCATATGCTTTTGACGTTTCGTGTCCGGTAGCGTCCGTGAATGATCGGTCTAACGTTTCGATTATCCACGGTACCAGCAATAGTGGTATTCGGTACAGGACACCCTCGTGAAATCCTCGCGACACGCATGTCCTTCGGGAACGGATAAAAACTTGATTGACAAGGGTAAAAAAGAGAGAAACGGTCACCGCAGCCGGGTTCCACCGTTGTCATAGAATATCATACCGTTCTCTTTCATCGTAGGGCATAGTATATACGAGAGTACCCACTCACCTGCATGCTTCTCCGACTTCGGCGTCGAGGCCATCGCTAGCCGGTAATATGTCCTCTCGGGTCGCGACACTATCTCACCATTTCTGCGAACGACCGCATCGTAAACTACACACTAGTGGCTGCCGCGGCGTTTTCAGTCTGATGTAAACCCGACGTGCACCGCTACATCTTCGTTTGTCAGCCATCTTTCGGGGCGCGAGCGCGCGAACCGCCATCGCACGGCCGAGATTTGAACACAACCACTAGGCCAATATGGCTGACGGATTGTCAATCGGGTGACATTTCACTCACTTTTTGTCCACGAAGGGATGCCTGCGAACGGCTGATATCCACGAGCGAGATACGTACCACGGCCACGTATGTACCGCCGCGAGCTGCGATACCGTTTAGTACGTTGCGTCCATCAATACCACGAGCATCGTCGTAGTGAACATTAATCAGAGGAGTGGCGGCGCAACGACTGACTCGGGTACATTGGTACAGTGACAGGCAAAAGCGAACGTCCATCGATGACCGGGTACAGACTGTAACAGAAATAAGTTCCGTGGTTTTCAATGGTTAACCCGCGCTAGAGGTGTGAGTACTGAGCAATCACCAGAAATGTATACCAAATGACTGCCTCAATATCATACGAATGACAAAACTGTCTTTGGAAAAATAAAGTATTAGTTATAAAATAAAATTCTTATTCTTACGCCTTTCAACAATTAATAAAAGAGACATTGAGAACAAGAAAATCACAAAATCAAAGATACTTTTAAACATTTGATTTATTCCATTAAGGAAAAATAGAGTTGATACCAAAGTAAAATGGGGAACTCTGGTTTGAAACAGCATTACGAGACCGCAAAGAAGACCGGCGCGTTAAATCTTTCGAAGAAAAAGCTTGACGAATTTCCGCAGAATCTACATGCCTCGGCGCCGTTGTTACGTACACTGGATTTATCCGAAAACAAATTCGTTCAAATTCCTACTGATATCCGCAACTTTACGTTGCTGAAGCAATTAAATATCAGTCATAATAAACTGACTGTTTTACCAGATGCTTTCGGGGCACTGACCAAACTTGAAGTTTTAAATGCAGCATCGAATCACATCAAAAGTATTCCTTGGTCTTTGCAGAAACTAACACGCTTAAAACAGGTCAACCTCTCAGAGAATCAGATTATCGAATTCCCCCTAATGTTTTGTGATTTAAAGTTCTTGGACGTGCTCGACGTATCTCAGAATCGAATTACAACGATTCCCGACGCTGCCGCAGCATTGCATGTGGTTGAACTTAACCTCAATCAGAATCAGATATCGACGCTTTCTGAGAAACTGGCGGAATGTCCGCGCTTGAAAACACTAAGACTGGAAGAGAATTGTTTGCAATTGAACGGCATACCTATTAAAATTTTAAAAGATTCGAAAGTTTCGGTATTAGCCCTTGAGGGGAATTTATTTGAGATGAAGCAACTTGCCGATCTCGATGGTTATGACAACTACATGGAAAGGTATACAGCGGTGAAGAAAAAAATGTTTTAAGGACAACCATTACTGTGGAAAGTAATCGATTCACGTATCGATTAATGTGGGTGTCGTATGTAAATTGTACATGTTGTTTGATACTAAATTGTTATATAATTTTTTTTGTAACTTTTCAAAGATCGTGTTCGCGTAATTATGTACTTGTACAAAGTGTCTCGTTTAATCACGATCATAAATCGAGGTATTGTTATTCTTCATATACGAATAAACACTTAAAACGAGCTTCGTTTTCTTACAAAATAATCATTGACACTGTATTCGATAGAGTATCGAGATTGTATAAACCTTTTGTCTAAAATAGTGTTTCATATTTTACTATATTGTACAGTTTTTATTACACAGCATGCAAAACAGTATTATACTTTGTATTTTGTATTTCACAAATATTTGTGTACACAATTATTGCGACGGCAAAATGTACAAATAAATTATATTAATAAACAATTCCGATTCATTTTGTACCTTTGTGGTGCAATATTTAATTGTATGTCCACATTTGTATTAAATTCTTCTGATATAAAATAAATCTTACATGTGAAAAAACTATGTGTTGAACATTTTGGAAATATAACCGTCTATTGTAATCGTTTGATCACAATCCTACGAGTCAAATTTTATGAATATTTTCTTTTTTTAATTCCCCGTCTTCGTCCTTTTTCCATTAATTTAGGTTTACTTTACGACTATAATAATATAAACATGTAATGCGGAATATTTATGATAGTGTCTGGAAAACAGATATTCTTTTGCATTCCAAAATGGCGAGACTCGTATTTGCTCTTTCAACAGGAAGAGCTGTTGAAATTAAATAACATAAATCGACAGGCCAGTCGCGGGTAATAAAAAAAGTTGCATGCTTCAACTTCCAAGTTAGCAACCCTCCACTTGTAGATACGTGAGTAGCTTAGGTATTACTTCATTAAGCGTAAGATATCTGTATTCCACTCTTTTCCCGACTGAACAATTACGGCTAATTTTAGAGCGTATTCAATATCCTATCATCGATTAATATCCGAATAATTAATCATGAGAAATTTTTCTTTTTTTACACAAATGCTTTTCGACCATTTGAAGTTAGGATATTCAAAAATATTCTTTATCTATAAACGTTGTATGCAATCGCGCTTAACGAATGTGTACCTTGCTTGCAAATTAATCACAGAAAGTCACGCATAATTAACCGTTTATAATACTCGACATAGTTAAATTTATTCCATAAATATAACATTTATTACGTAATTTTTTATGTTTATGAACAAAATACTTCGTTTATTATACTTAAGGGATTGTTTCAGGCTATTCGATGTTCAGCAAAACTTATGCTTACACGTTTAGGGTACAGACGACGAGAATCTTGTATATAGAAGACACACTGCTCTAATTTTGTACAAACTTTAAATTTTCAAATATGCACTCATTCTTAAAAATTGTTATGCTTTAATTAATTACATTAATTGTTTACAATTATCATGTCACATCTGAATATTTGCCTACATTGTCATGAATTGTTTATATTATGCTTGCACCACAATAGGTCGTCCAACTAACGACCATGACCGTATACTAAAATTGGGATGCCCCGTAGCCTCCAAATCACAATACCAGGGTATACGGTACACAAAATGTATGAAGCACGTTTACTTTCCTGTAAACAGTTCATTTAACAGTTATCTTACGATTAGACATAAAGCAAATTCGAAGATATGATTTATAAAAAATTCATGTACATTTAAAATATCCAATTTTACACAATATTAATAACCGCAATATTATTCGAACCTAACCAATTTTCATCCAGTGAACATATTATTCACACTTGTTTAACACATTTTAGTAAGGGTATTGTACATTCCATTCCCATTTTTAACGTAAATACGAAATGGGAGTTTCTAATTCGTTAGACATCCCTATGGGGAGCACTGCCACCGTGGTGGCTTATTTGATCAACGTAGTCTCTAGCAAGTGTTTCCCCGAACATGGCGGACGGTGCTCATTCGAATTTTCAAGGGACACAATGAAAGTGCACCGAGTTCGCCGCGGTGATGTCCGTGACTAAGGGCGTGTGGTGATCCTAAGGGTGGCCGACGTGGGTGCCCGGGCGCCGGCGTGATCGTTACGGCTGCATGCGTGCCGGCATATTGCCGTCCTGACTTCACAGGATAGAATTTTGCCGCGCCGCGATTGTGTGTCTCGGAGCGACCGACCGTGGCGGGGCCCCCATGGTTGTAATGGCTGACGGGAATCGGAAAATGAGGCCCGAACGTCGCGTGTGATTCCACGGCTAAGACACTGAGGTACGACATAACATGGTGTACAGAGATCGAACGATATTCGCGCGGTCTTCTGTCCCAAAAACACCACCACCGGGTCCAAGCACCGCCCGGTACAAGGAGCTGTCCCGGGGGTTGCTCGTGTCTACCGTATCGCCAGTGTCTTCGTCAATTGATCGGTTTTCAAGTCTGTTTATCCCTACGATCAACTATACCTTTTATTTCGAGCTCGACGCTCGTCAGCGACGATAAAAAATTCTCGAAAGTGTATCTACCCGAGCGCGATGTTTTGTCTTGTTTAGAACAGCATTCGTAGGTGCTCTCGTTCGTTAACGAGAGCGAGAGCGCGCGGACTGGTTTTTAATGAGATGCCGATCATATGGTCGTTATTTCTTTCGCAGGTTTTCGCGATACATTTTCGATTCTTTTAACGTACTTATCGCTGATCGTAATGGACGTAAACGAATGATTCGCCGGACGACGATCTGTTTCACACATTTGCGTGGACCAAGCATTATGTGTACGTGCATGTAAGACTTGCTTTCCCTTCGGATTTCAACCAAACACTTTATGACAATATCGTGTATTAACATTGCTCCACTACCCATTTAATCATTAGTTTCCAAAACATAAGTAAAGCTGCTTCACTGAGATGCATTGTGTACTATGTTGGATGAAAGTATTCTTTTGTATTTGTATTATATGGTTTTAAAAACAAATGTTAAACTAATAGAAATGGACATAACAATTGAATTATTTCTGTAAACAGCATCTGTTGCTATTACTATCATTTCTTGTTACCTACAAATATGTTTTTTGCCATACTATAATTTGTTATCATAGTTGTTCATATGAAAGTGTATTGGTATCAAAAAACAGAAATGAAATTATGTTACATAAAATAATATTGAATATGATAACTAAAATATTATTGTAATCACATTTCTTTCTTATATTATCCAAGCTAAATCATATTTAATCATCTTACTCATCTTGTAATGTTTATATTCCTTTTGACTTTCAATTATGTATATAATAAGTTATTTTTTATGGCTGTATGTGATTTTAGAAACAGGGTAGAAAATGTCAGAGCCAGAAGAAAGTCTGGCAGCGCCGGATAGCACTACGAGGGAACAAAAGTTGTGTTTCTCTCACGGGGACGATGTTCTACTACAACATAAGGATGGAAAATATTATCTTGGAACAGTTGTGGAGGTACATTTGTGTAATTCATAACACGGATGATCTTATTTTAGAGAACTTTGATTAAAATAAAATTAATTTAAATTTTAGTATTAATTCAATTTCATCATGTTACTTAGGGAATTACTTAATATATTAATAATCTATACATAAATACAGGTGGATTTGGCAAGGGAAAGATGCCTTGTCAAATTTATGGACAATACCTCCTCCTGGTCTTCAGTCAAGGAGCTGACAAAGCTATCAATGCCGGACTCCGATGTTATGTGTGTTCTTTGCAAAAAATCTCAGCCCAAGACTGATAATGACATTATTGTTTGTGACAAATGTGGTCGTGGTTATCATCAACTTTGTCATCAGGTATTAAGCATATTCATTTAAATACAAGTATGCAATTTATATAGGAAACTAAAAATATTTACTTTCAGCCTCAGATATCGAAAGAAGAAACTGCAGCTGAGGCTCATTGGATGTGTAAAAGATGTATAGATAGTCAACCACGGATACGTGAACTTATGGAACCAAAAACTTCTATGGTAAAGGCAAGTATCAGAAAAGTTTGCAGCGGTAGGGACCAACCTCAGCCACCACCAGATGATATGACAAAGTTGCCGTACGATGTAAGTATCTGAAATTATGTATTGTTTTAAGTCAAACGTCGAAGCTGAAGTTTGTTTGTTATAACTGAGTTAAGAAACAAATATCTTTAAATACTGTTTTTATTACAGCCTAATATGTTAAGTTGGGATGCACATCATAGAGTAAATGCTGAACAAATTTATTGCTATTGTGGACTTAATGGAGAGTGGTATACACAAATGTTACAATGTGCTCGTTGCAAACAATGGTTTCATGAAAAATGTGTTAGCTGTTTAACTTATCCTTTATACAGTGGAGATAGGTGAGTGTATGAAACAAATTTATTATAGGGGAAATTTTTTAAAACATGTATACTTATGTTTGTTAATACTTGCAGGTTTTATGTATTCGTTTGTTCAATGTGCAATTATGGTAAAGAATTCGTACGGCGACTGGAATTAAAATGGGTAGATCTGGTGCACCTGATGTTGTACAATTTGACTGTTTACAATGCTAAAAAGTATTATGATTTGGATACTGTTATTGTACCTTATGCCAATGATAATTGGAATACTTTACAGCTTCCACCACGGGTGAGGATCTTTTTTTAATTTTATTAATGTAAAACTAATAGCTATGCAATTTTTTTAAACATATGCAAAATAAGTTTCTTATAAATTTGCATGTACATTTTTTTATTATTAGATCAGGGATGTCAGTGCTCAAATACGCAGAGAATCTATACTAGCAATACTGACAAATAATAGGAACAGGTTCAAATGTGGCAGAGAAATAAAGAAACGAACTACAATATGGGGACTTAGAGTTAGATTACCACCACCATGTCCAATTGTAAATCTTCCAGTAACTGGTGTAATAGATGATTCTGTGTTACGGAGATGCTGGGGTGCTAATAAAAGACTGCAATATCTTCCACCACCTACA